TAGAAGTCAGTTCAAACAATTATCATCTCAGTTGCTTTCCATTGTCATAACTGAATACCCAAGAATGGCAAATTAGGAGATACCAGTTTAATCAGCTCAGAGTCCAAGGTCATGGCACTGGTATCTGGTGAGGTCTTGCTTCATCTTAACACGGCAATTACCATCACATGACAGGACAGAGCACGCCTGTGTCCGCTCAGGTTCCTTCTGAAGCCACCAGTTCCATCATAATGACCCCACCCTGAGGATCTAATAGCATGTGCCGGGAATTTGAGGGATTACATTTTATGATTTGGGGCAGGAGAGGGTGCATTTGAACTGTGACAGCTAAAGAAATTGGAATTTCTTTGTGATGCTCTCAAGCATTTTTTGTTTGATTTGTGAAGTGAATTGGATCCATTAAGTCTTTTAGAAATACTCTTGAAAATTTCCGTGGAATGGCATGGCAAGATAAAGTGGGGTCTTTATTATGTTCATAATACTCTGTCTCCAACATGGCACCACTAGCTATGTGAATGGGTCATCTTTCTAAGCAGACTCATAATAACCCTCCCTGTATCTGAAATCCAGCTTTTGAAATGCTTAAATGAGCCTTCTTTTTCAGTACATAATGAACACAGAAAAGCAAATAGGACATAACACCTCCAGCAGAATGACATTTGTCCCTAGATTCCCTAGAGACTGGTGGGCATTGTCTTAAGGGGAAAAGGATGAATATATTAAAACCCATGCCCTAACATTTATAATGTTTTGCATAGCTGCCTCCAATAATGATAGTTACAAGAAACTAATGAAATAATTATTTTATGATATAGCAGAAAAAAATGGAATCAGAGACATGAAGACTTGATGGTAATTTGCTGTACCATAATGAGCAGTGACATATCTTCTGGATCTTATTTTGTCCTTTGTAAAATGAGAGGTCTGCTGGTTTGGATGAGTCCTGGACTTACAACCTCTTTTTGTATCTAGAATTTTTAGAAATCCTCAGATCTGAGGTTATTTTATTTCCTTGAGTCTGAGAAACAACTTGCCAGCAGCTTTGCTTACCAGGTGGCTCAGTCTCGTGACTGCAAATACCTCGAGCAGCAAATACCCTTCTCTGACCTCTACCAAGAGACAGCATGATAATCACCAAGGCTGATATTCTTACAGTCTGATGTTCAATGGTCTCAGGTTTAAATGTGGAATAACACTTCTTGAAAATGTGTTCTTGAAAATGAAGAACAACTTAAGGTTTTAAATTTTCTTTTGTTTATTGTGATTTTTGAGATTTTTCACATATTGAAAGCTCAACAGTGTTTATGTAACCCAGTTTAGAAGTATACTTCTAGACCTTTTACCAGATTGACAAGATGTTACCTGAACAATTCAGATCTTCTATCTCTCTTGATATGTAGGCCTGGAGGCTCCCACCTGCTTAGCCAGAGCCCCTTGGTCTTCTGCATTAACCTGTGTGAAGGTGACAGCTATGTAATTTTTCTTGTCGATAAGATGGCCCCATCTACACTTCTTGACAGGATAGTCGGGAACCTCCATCTCCTGACCCAATGCAGGCAATTCAACAGGTGTCTCAACCTGCGGGGTCCACAGCCTTGCAATCACTCCAAGCCAAGCCTTTTTGTCCTCTAGCAAGGTAGAAACAGATTCACCCCATTGAAAGGTCAGGTGGTCTCTTCAGGGTGACATCCCTTCTGCCAGCAGCTCTTTTCAGCCTGGTCTCTTGGTCTCTGCTTGTTTCTGGTGAACCAGTATAAAATGCCGAGTAGCTTAACTGTTGCTCAGAATCTGGGTAAGCTATATTGAAGTGAACTGGCTCCTCACAAAACATCCATTAGCCCTTTTCAGTGTAGCTGGATATAGCAAAGCCATTTGACAAAACAGGCAAAGTCTTTGCTGTTTGTCCTATTCTGGGCCAGCTTCTTGGTCCTCACTTCCTTCCTTCCTAGGGGCTAGAACCACCTTCTTCTCCAGCTACTCAGGATGCCAACTGTATTGAAATTTGGAGAGAAAAAGGAAATTTAAAGCAACCCTTAAAAATTATACTTTTAATTTGGGTCAATTTTTGGCTGGCTCCCTTAACGTGAACTAACCGTGCTTTTGAATCATTGGCCCCATGTGTGTGTTTCATTTGGGGTCTTCTTGGTAAAGGCTTCCTCTCTAGTATGGATTCTTTGGAGGTGCTTGTAGCCTGTTAAGGTAAGAGGCAGCTCAGTCACAGCTTCTGCATTGAATTGGATCTATCACATTATCTACTACTGTTTGTTCTGACTGTGACAGACAGAAACAGGACTTGTCAATCTCATAAGCCATTAGTCCAGGATGACATACAGATTGTTCCTCTTACTCAGGTGGGCACCTGTTAGACCCACATGAGCACTTTGTTTTCCTGTCCATTAAGATTCCCATAAAAGCTTTAGCATTCCATTACAGGGCTGTGCTCATAGTGGATGCTCAAAAAACAATAGGTACAGAGGACTGAGAAATGTTTGGGGTGAAGGAGATACCACTTACCCCATCACACTGTTGTTGTACATTGTATATATCTATTGAAATGTCACATTAGACTCCACAAATACATTGTGTACATTTAAAAATTATAAATATTGGCAGCTCTCTCATGGGCTACAGGTATGTACAGTCTTTTTGCCTTTTAACTTGAACCTGAGTGTCATCATAGAAATAAATTTGATCAACAAATAGAAAACACTATCTGCTCGTGAAGCATGAATGGCTTTCATATTATAAATTACATGAGTGACATGATCATTTCTGTGTACCAGTAATGATATTTTAGGTAGCCACTTTAAGCTGGGTCTTTAAACCTGGACAGTGTGCTAAATGAAGGGGGACTGAAAGTAATAGCACAAATTAGCACTCATCAACCTTTGAAAAGGCAATGATGGTCAGAACAGAGGGACAAAAGGATAGGAAGACAGTGGGTGGTGGAAATTAAGCTCAAGGGACAGATAAGTGAAACAAAAGGTTGTGCATATATTGGAGACATTTGAGTCTCTGTAGATTCCAACAAACAAGGAAAATGCAAAAAAAAAAAAAATAAGTAACAATCAGAAGGTAGTGAAGGAGGTAAGGAAGAGAATCGCAACTGAGTGATCCTTCTTCCCCTGGGGTGGGAGAGGTTGGGAAACATCTTGAGAACTCTTAGCAGAGGAGGGGAAGGGAACAGAAATGGTGCTGGGAGTGGATGTAGGAAACAGCTACTCTGGGATTCATTTGGGTGGTGAAGCAAAAGATACTTAAGAATACATGGGAAGACACTGAATTCCAGGGCTCAGATGACTTCAGATAGTAGTTTACCAGGAGGAAGTTGAAGTGCCATGAAAGAAGCTGTGAGTGAAAAAGCACGTTGAGGCAGATAGAGGTTCTGAGAACCCATCAGTGGGGACGGGGAGGTCCTGGTTGCAGCCGGCTGGATGAGAGCAGAGCCATGGAGCTGAGCAGGGAATTGGGCCAATGTGGGCAGTTGGAGGGACTCGGTCTTGCACAGATAACTCTTACGGAGGTGGCATCAAGTGAGATGGTTTCTTGTTCGCTCCTTTGGTCTTGTTGCCTGTGGTTAAAGTGCCCCCAAAACTTTGCCAGCACAAGACCTGGGAGCCCCGTATTATAGCCCACAAGCCCCAGTCACCTTACAATGGCTCCTCTTTCTCTTCATGTCCTTGTCTCACACAGCCCCGTGATACCCCCTCTTCTCCCCCTCCCTCCCCCTGTTAGTGTCTGCCAGCTAACTTTAAATAAAACTTGATTCTGGTAGTTTTAAACGCTTTTAAACTCTTAAGCGTATTCTCTATGATTTCTCTATTCTAAGTATGTCTCCTCAAAATTTGTAATATAAAAAGCACTTATTTCTATTTGTTGGCAAGTTTCAAATAAAGTACTAAACATACAGGCATTTATCATTATCCTGTGTCCTCTGCCGCTGAAGTCACCTGCTGTTCTCCCCTCTCCCTTGTTCATTTGCAAGGACTCCAGAGCAACTTCTGCAATAGAACAACTGCAGGAAGAAGCCTCAGCTGTAGTCCTGCTCCTGGTTGGAAATGCCTAAAGACATTTGCCCTTTGTACATGGGAGGTCGGAGAGATGTTTCCGAACCAAGTGGGGAGTTAGCCCATGTCCATTATGATAAAGACCCCTAAAGAGAAAGCTGTTTACTGCTTTGCTTTCTGGTAGAAGCCATTATCAGCTTTGTGTGGCTTATCATTCATTCTATAGCTTATCATAAATGGCTTTGAATGTTCCCTTATCCTTTTCCTCTTAATCCATTATCCCAAAAATGATGAATATGGAAATAGTGGCTGAACTTGCCTGAGATGGCTCAGATTCAGAGAGGTTTGATGAGTTTTCATTACTCGTACTGCAGAAAATGTCTTTGTTTAACCAGGAATAATAGGATTTCCGTGTTGTTCTTGACATCAACTCTAAGCTAATCTGTTTTGTCGTTTCTAACATTTGTTTAATAGTTAAACTGAGAAAAATGAAGATGTATTGAGGGCCTTAATCTTTACAGAGGAAGTTGAGGGTGAGATTTGTTTTTAAGACAGGATGTCTCCTTAGCTGGAGTTGCTGAACAGCACAGTAGTATTGGATTTTCCTGTGCTCAGAGGGATGAGGAGGAGCAGAAATTAGATGCCTATTCTCTTTCATGTGACCCCTATAGGCCAGGAGAGGCTAAAGGTGGTAACTACGTTCTGGAAATGAACTTGGAGGCTGGGTTTGGCTAAACAGTTTGCTTCAGGGAATCTAGCAAGATAGTGTGCACTAAGATCCGTGCTGCAAACCCATGCTCTTCCCTGTCCCACACCATCCCATAAGGCAGAAAGTTGTCTCACCATCAGATAGCCATTTAATGATAGGAGGTTTTCTTTGTGCTACAGTACATATTGAAGACTTAATACTGGCTTTTTTTTTCCTCACATAGAAGCACGCATGGATTTATGAAGTAATGTAATATTTAAGGATTTTGCTTTCTTTTGTTCTAGATTTTCTATCCTAGCAAGGATGGTACCAAAATTCCAATGTTTATTGTGCATAAAAAAGGCATAAAATTGGATGGCTCTCATCCTGCTTTCTTATATGGCTATGGCGGCTTCAACATATCTATCACACCTAACTACAGGTAAGTGTGGAACACGCTGGGAACTTGCCATGTCTTGGATATTGTATACACATTGTGGAAAGTAACTGAAGACCAGAAAAACATGAAAGCTGTATGTCTTGCTTAGTGCTTTCATAAAAGGACAGGGTTACTGGAAAGTACCTGAATAGGCTTAGCATTTAGAGGATTCTTAATAGTCTTTTTAGAGCTAGATGTTGAAGTCATAGCTTCCTGGCTATGAAATATTAGCATCAGCTGAGTCTTAGGCGCTTCCTTCTTTATAAAACATCACTGTCACTAAACCAACGCTCCCCCCCCCGCCCCGCCCAAACTCTCCTCAACATTCTATTCAGAGCAAATGATTTTTAGCTAATAATTTTCCACCAGCACACAGGCTTATAGATTATCTTAACATTCAGCCGTAAGTACATTTTCTGAATATGACTTCATCTGTTTTAAACTGTAACATACTTATTGTTTCTGTGATTATTTCCCAGGTAACTTACATTCAGGGAGGAAAATAGTTTCTCGTATTTGCAAACATGATATTTAATATCCCATTCCTACTATGTAATAAAATTTACTTTAAGCATCTTTAAACAAAGCAAGGAATTTCCTGTCGGCAACCCAGATTTATTTAAGCTAACTTCTAAATCGTACCTCATAATCAAAACCGATTCACAGATTCACCCAGCATCTTTTCTATTCAGGAGAAGATTGGTGGACTGATGACTACCAGGATATAGCGTCAGAACAGACCCAACCAGCTGTCCCAGAGTTAACTACAAGAAAGCTATTACTTTGTTTGTGAACACTTAATAACAGTAGCAACTCATTATTTTAGGTTTAATCAAGTATAAAGTCAGTTTATGCCAAGTGGTTTTTAACAAATGTCACTCCAGTGAACATCTGGCTAAGGAATCTGAATTCATTCTTTTATTAGGGAGGAGCTGATGGAGGCTTATGTATCAGATCAAGATATAGAACAGTAGTTCATGAAGTAGATTTGCATGGTATCATCTTAGGAGTAAACTGAAGGGGGAGAGAAGAAGAATGCCCTAGTGGTGGCCACTCATCCACTCTGCTGTTCCAGCGCCACTTACTAGGCACCACCCCAGATGTGTCACTAACCCTGGTTGTAGGATCGCAGCCCACAAATGGACTTCTAAGGCAATGAGATTTGTTAGTTTATTAGTACATCCATATCTGTGAGGTTAAATCACATGCCACATTTCTTCTAAGATGATTAGTCTGAAAATGCAAGCCAGTAGATACCGGTTCATTAGATTAGCCCAATGTTTCCAATAAAGAATAAAATACGTCATTGTTTATCACTCAGAATGGTAACATGGCAAGCTTCAATTCCAAGTCAGAGCAGTGCTCGGTGGAGGGGGCAGTGAACTGAGCAACCAGTGAATAGCAAGAGCCTCACACAGCGGATCTCCTGTAGCCCAAAGCACTGGTGTTTGTGCGTTTGTGCCGTAAGTCCTTTTTAAGCCTCTGTGTTGGGAATCCAGAGCTGAGTACCCAGAACATTTCCTCCCAAAGCCAATGGATGCAATAGAGTCAGGAGAAACCAGCAGAGATGCAGGAGGAGGACCAAGTGATTGAAAATCAGGTTGGCCAGTTGAGGGTGGTTGGTCTGATTATATCTACCCCAACTCTTGTAATTACTCCTTTCATCCTTGATAATCTAGAAATTAGTGCTCAAAGAAGCTAGAGCTTCAGCTTTCCTCACATCTTCCCATTCATTACTAAAAGGTATAATGGTAAAATGCTCAGATATAGCTCTCAAAGCAAAGTTCATTTTAACTATAGGAAAAAGGGGGGAGGGGAATCCAAATCGAAATTTTCCAGAGGACTTAATACTTTTTCTTATAAGCTTCCTTTATAGTTCCTTCTGTTTACTCCTACAACACAGGCTCCAGCCCTGAAAACTCTGTTCTTATCTTCTCATCTGTGTGACTGATTTATTCTACCTTTCATACCCTGGGGTTGTCTAGAAGTGAAAAACTTGAGGGCCACATGTGATCACATGTAATCACACCTGTAATTCCAGCTCCTTGGGAGGTGAGAGGATTGGGGATCTAGGCCAGCCTGAACAAAAAGTGAGATCCTCATCTCCACCAACAAGATGGGCCAGGTGATTTCTGGCCATAACCTCCACTATACAGAAAGCTATAGAGGCCTGTGCCTAGTTCTGAGGCCAGCCTTAGGCACAAACAGGAGGCTCTACCCCAAAAAATACCAAGGTGTGGGGGGGGGGAGTGATGAGGAGGTGGTACAAATGGTAATGTGCCTGCCTAACAAGCTAGAGACCTGGAGCTCAAACACTAGTACCACTGAGAAAAATGAGAGAGAGAGAGAGGGAAACATGTTAGTGGGGAAGTGGAGCTGCAGCTCAAGTGGAAGAGCACTAATGTTGAGCAGAAAAGTCCAGGGACAGCACCCAGGTCCTGAGTTTAAGCTCAAGGCCTGGCAAAAAGAAAAATATGTTAAAGGACTTGCCTTCCCCAACATGAACAGTTGAGAGAGTGTTACCAGTGACAGGGGCCACAATCAGCTGCTCCTATGAGCCCAGCATACTTTCCGCTTGGCCTGGCTGTGTTTTGCTTGCCAAATGATTTTTTTCCCCCCACTAATCAGGTGAGTGTGGAGTAAGGGCCTCTGGTTGTTTCTATATCTGTGGTACGAATTATGTCATAAAATACTTAACCAGCATAGGAAAGCACTTACGAAGATGTTTGCATTCTGCCAGTGAACGTTAATCAGAAGTCACATTACTGTAGCCAAGTAATGCAAAACATGTTGGGCCCTTGTTTAGATACCACAGTGCGTGGATTGTCCTCAAGGACTATCTGCGCATGGTTCTGAGTAGGCAGACACTGCAAGATTAAACTGTCTTCCCTATTTCTCAGTGTGTCCAGGCTCATTTTTGTGAGACACATGGGTGGCGTCCTGGCAGTGGCTAACATCCGAGGCGGCGGTGAATATGGAGAGACGTGGCATAAAGGTGAGTCATTTCCTCTGCAGCCTGCCTAGTGAAAGTTGATCCTTTTCTCCTGGAAGCAGCAGAGGGAGGGGCTGAGGGCACAGAAGTAAAAGGAGGATGTTAACTCATTGCAGGCAAAAGTCTCCTTTGAAATCAGGTCTTTCTTTTCCTCTATAGTCTTTGATAACGAAGTGGGCATTCGGTAGAAGCATTCTGCATAAGACTAGAATTAAAATGTGAGGTTCTTAGCAATGCACACCGTGCATTTTTAATTATCTGTGTCTGAAGGGCATCTTGGGAAAAACGTATATTTTTTTTTTCTGCCTCTTGGTGGCCTTGTTTGCAGGTTAGCATTAGTCAGAGCAGGTCCTGTTCTAAAAGAGAAACCTCATAGCTTTCCTGTTCCCAACATTACTGAGCATGTTCCTCCAGGCATGGTTCTAAAACCCTGTTTATAGCGTGTGAATTTAGACACCAGATTGCAGATTGTTTTTCTTTTGTGGTTTGCTTTGGTCTCAGTTCTCTGTGTTCAGTTCTCAGCTTCATACCCCAGAGGGGCAGGGTTTCTTAGAAGAATCATCTTTTACTTGAAAGCTCTGCCTCTTCCATTTGTGGCTATGTGGAGCTGGAACTGAATTTTTAGACTACCTGTTGTGTGCCTCTCCTGCTATCATTTGTAACAGGCCTGCAGGGACCATGGTAACCCCCACTGCTTTGGGTTGGTCAGCAGCACCAGACCAGTGGAATCCGCTTCAGAGACTACCCTTCAGATTTGTACAGCTACTTTCTCCACCTTGCAAGGCCTAAGCCTCTGATTTTTTCCCCCCACTAATTAGCGAACACAGGGATGAGGCCATCAGGACATGAAGAGATCTTCATTAAGTATTAGTACTAAGTTGCAGGAAAGGCCCAGGCAATCCAGCACAATCCCAAGGGCTAATGTTAGGCAACAGACTGCCCAAGCATACTCGCAAGACTGAGTGCTCCTAAACACCCCTGGGCTCCTAGCTACCATTCATCACTTGGATAGTTCATTGTCTGCTGTCATCCCTAATTATCATGTATTTGACACTACATAGATTTCCCTGAAAATTTGTGACCTGATAGTAGACTTTAATTACATTAAAACCATATTATTATATGCCTGAGAAGTGAATACAAAATTTCTACTGGACACTCATATGTAGAAGACTAAAATTGGGCCCACTGTCTGTCACCTTGTACTACTATCAACTGAAAATGGATCAACATCAGGCCTGTACCATTGAAACTACTACAGGAAGAAGTAGGAAAAACAAATAAGAACATAATGTCATAAGCAGAAACTTTCTGAGTAGAGTGCCTGGGGCTCAGCAAATTGGAAAGAGAATTGACAAATGGGATTATATCAAACTAAAAGGTTTCTGGACAGCTAGGGACAAAGTAAGCTAAAAAAGCATCCTACAAAATAGGAAATTTTTACCAGCTCTACATCTGTCAAGGACCTTATATCCAGAGTATACAAGGAGCTCTAAGAAAGTAAACACCCACTCTGAAATCAATAACTCAATAATGGGCAAAGAAGCTAAGTAGAGACTTAGCAGAAGAAACAAGAATGGCCAAAAAAGATCAGGAAATACTCAACATCCCTGGCCATAAAGGAAATGCAAATCAAAACAATATTGTGATTACATCTTACCCCAGGAGGATTGACCATCAACAAGACTACAAATAACAGATGCTATTGGGGGGAACCCTATTATATTGTTGGTGGAAATGTAAACTAGTGCAGCCACTTGGAAGGCAGTTTGGAGATTTCTCAAAACACTAAACGGAACTACCATATGACCTGGCAATACCAATCTTAGGCATCTACCCAGTTTCAGGATAATAGTAAAGATACTTGAACATCCATATTCATCGTTGCACTATTCACAACAGCCAAGATACGGAAACAGCTAGATGCTCTACAGCAGATGAGTGGATCAAGAAAATGTGGTACATACATACATACAATACAGTTTTATTCATCTATTAGTATAATCTGTCATTTGTAGGGAAATGGATGGATCTAGAAAAAAAGTTAAGTGAAATCGGGTTCTGAGAAACAAACTACACATTCTCTCTCAGATGTGGAAGTTAGATCTAAAATACAAACTTATATGATAACATCTATAGGGTTATCTGCATATATCCATTAATTAAAGGATGGTATACTTGGAGGAGTCCAACAGTATAACTCCTTTGAACAACTAGGGATGCTTTAACAAAATACCAGAAGCTAAAACATGTTTAGGAATAGGAACAATGAAGGGAAAGTACATGAATGGAGAGAGAAGGGGTGAGCACGTGCAGTCATAATTAGTGCACATTATGTAAAAATGATGTAACTTCAGAGTAGGGATGGGATGGGGAAAGATGGGGGAGAACAAGGGAAGGGTGACATTGACCAAAACACATTGCACTGATCATCTGAACTCTGGAATTTAAACCCCTTTGTGCACCTCAGATTCATTTACAAAGACTCTACTCCTTGACTCACCTGATTTCCTATCTAAAATAGTATATAGTTGGTTATTTACCCCCACCTCAACACATGCTTCTCCTTTCCCAATCCTGTGGTTCCTGTAGATCCCTCAGATCCCACAGCCTTCTCCTGAAAGAACTGTATTCCCCCCACCAGCACCTCTGGTCATCAGCACCACCATGTTTCGGTAGAGAAGGTGCCTTGGGCCTAATTGGTTCTCCCTTTCCCCTCTACTTGTTAGATCCAACTTCCTGTCCAAAGCTTACAAGTGGCAGCTTGAAGTTAGACTGAGATAAAATGTGTTTTGACTGATTCAAATGCTTTCTCAAAGTCAGGCAGTGAGTGAAAGGACCAGAAAGGGACCTTTTTCAGTTATAGATAGCCTAGCATCCAGAACACTGGTAAATCTAAATTTCATTCTGTTTATTGAGCTTAAAATGTAATGCTCTTTTAAAAAGTCATCCACCTCCAATGATGATATTCCTAGAAACTAATCTCAGCTGTTCTAATTCACCAATAATTTCTTATTAAAATCTTAATAACATTTGTTTTGATGAGAAAAAGACTCCTTCAGTTGCATTGCTCCATGTTTAATTGACTTTCTGCAGAAGTGGTTAATCTCCAGTATCTAATTACATTTAGGTCTGCTTTTTGATCAGCGGTTGTTATTTCAGAGATCTGTTTCTTTGGCTTTTGGCCTTCACTTTCATGTATTTCAAGGCCCTGTGAATGTTCCTCTCTTTAAGCGATTTCTTTGGCTTAACACATGGGAATGACTAACAGGTGGTAGAGTACAGATTTCCTGGGGAGATGTGTGAGGTCTTTGGGAGTCATTCAAGAATCCTGAAAGCCTGTATCATCACTTACCCACTTTGAACTCCCACAGAGAGAAGGGGTGAGAAGTTGCTCCATGCTCCCACTGTCATGAGCAGGGAAGCATGTGTGACCCCAGTACCAGCTCTGGGCTGGGTGCAAACCCCAGGGGTGAATGCCACGAGAAGCCTCATTTTGTTTTGACATTTGGCATCCCCAAAATATAGACGCTTTTTGAGATTGTATATTCCTCCAAAACAGATAATCTGTTCTCTTGAGGCATTTTAAAGTTCTAGACATTTTTAATAAAATACAAATTTTCCAGATGGGATCACAGTTATGGTCTTGGGAGAAATTTCAGCAGTATATAAAATTTCAGTTGACAGGACTGGGAGGTGGCTCAGCAGTAGAGTACTTGCCTCACATGCATGAGGCCCTGCGTTCGATTCCTCAGCACCACATAAACAGAAAAAGCCGAAGTGGCAGAGTGCTAGCCTTGAGCTGAAGAGCTCAGACACAGCATCCAGGCCTAGAGTTCAAGCCCCATGACCAACCCCCGCACACACACACCCCAAAAAAAACTTCAATTAAGGCATTTCTGTAAATATGGTTTTTGCAGGCATTGGTTAAGATGATCAGTAGTTGAAGCTGTGTGCTACAGTCATTTGAATTCTATTCAGGCTAACCTTATTCTGTGTTATTAATTAACGTGTTTTTCACTTTGGCACATTGTAGGTGGAATCTTGGCCAACAAACAGAACTGCTTTGATGATTTTCAGTGTGCTGCTGAATATCTGATCAAGGAAGGCTACACCTCTCCCAAGAGGCTGACGATTAATGGAGGTTCAAATGGAGGCCTCTTAGTGGGTAAGAACTGAGTTGTACTCGTTGGACTTTCTACCTGACTCTTGAGGGCTTTTCAGATACTCTGGGCAGCTCTGATTGACTGTGAGCTTCACAGAAGAAAGAAGTGTTAACTAAAAGCAAAACCCAATTGTATATGGGCATCTGATAATGGCATGCAAAGAGACAGATACATTATCTGAATTGACTCATAGTAGCCAGAGCAGAATAACAGACATCCACTCAAACAGAGGACAGTGTTCCAATCTACTACTAGGGGTGAAATCAGGGGATGAGTTCATTCTTGTGTCCTATTCTTTGAAAGACGCAGAATCAAATTAAAACCTGAATTCCTTTTCATACATTTTTCTCCCAAAGGGATATAGCCTTTAAAAATGAATTCTTTCAGACTGGTGATATAGTTGAATGGTAGAGTGCTTGTCTGAGTTGAAGAAGACCCTGGGTCTCCAGCCCTGAAAATTAAAAAAAAAAAAAAAGGAGATAAAATAACTTGTTTAAGTTTGGAAAGAATATTGATTCAATTCTTAAATGCCAAATTTTGTCCAAGATACTGGGATGGGAGTGAACCAAGGCATCGTAGAGCGTTCACTGTAGCCAGAGGCAGCAGTCCCATGTCCTGGTGGGGCTCAGTGAAGCCTGGAACAAGAGGCCAACCCAAGTCAGACCTCATGCCATCCAGAGCGCTCACCCTACTGTGTGTGAAATATGAAGCCTTTAGAGAATTAGGAGAGGTTTGTCTTGCTAGCAGACCAATGGCTTGGGCCAGGCAGGTTGTGTAGTAGCAAGATGTGGTAAGATCTGGATGTATTCTGAATTTAAGTCGGCTGAACTCCCATAAAGAATATAGATAAGATACTAGATTTAACGGGAACAGACACTGAATACCAAAAATCAATCATGAGAGAATTGTGTTCATAATTTACTGGTTCACTCAATAACTCCATTATGTCCTTGAAGGTTTATATCCAGGAATTGTTTTGTGCTTGTTGACAAGTCTCTTCAGCAATCTGCAGAGATGGAGTTCCCCCATCAAGTTCTTGCTTTTATATTAGAAATACAGATTTCTAACTTTACCACCCCCAGGAAAGAGTCAAGGTCTCCAGGGGTAGGACTGTTATTAATAAGTGCTGATAAGAACCAGGGAAGGACCTGGCTTTTTTGCAGATACAGGAAAGTCTAGATCCTTTGCCTAACTTCTAGTCATATGGCTTTGACATTACTCCTTCCATACCTCCCTGACGACTTTGCCCTGGTACCTCACCACTTTGCCCTTCCATACAATTAACTCCACACTGGCCAAGCCCAGGTTTTGCAGCAGCTGCTCACTTCTTTATCTCATAAGCTAAATTTAGATTAAGGGTACCAAAAAAAATTTTAATAACCAGCCAAGAATATGTGGCAAATTGGTTAAAGCCTTGAGCTGCATTTAAGACCCTGTACTGTCTTGGACTAGTTCTGAGATCCTGAACAAGTTCCTTTACCTTCCCCTTTCCTGGAGCTTTCTGAGTAACAGTCCCCTAGGAGGTTCAATTTGAGGAGCAAAGCTGTATTCTCGATAAGAAGCCCACCTTCCCCATATGGGGAGCTTAGGAAAGTGGTGGTTTCTGATGGTTTTCTCTTGTGCTCTAAGGATAAAGGTAACCAGGGTTTGAAAAGCACATAAGTGTTGCTTTGGTTTTGTTATTTAGATGTTTAATGATACACTGCTTCCTTTTTCTGTCTATCTTGGTTTTTAGCTACTTGTGCAAATCAGCGTCCTGACCTCTTTGGTTGTGTGATTGCCCAAGTTGGTGTCATGGACATGCTGAAGTTCCATAAATTCACCATCGGTCATGCCTGGACCACGGATTATGGGTGCTCAGACAGCAAACAACACTTTGAATGGCTTGTCAAGTATGTAATGTATATTTGCTATATATATTATGATTTTATATAGTCAGTAGGGTTGGTGCATGATGTTTTATCCCTATCAGTGTCTTATTCACATATAATTGAATGCAAAAGTGGGAGAAGAGATGGGAATTCCTTCTGGTTTTCCTTGTTTTGGGTTTTGTTTGCAGTGCTGGAGATGGAACTCAGAGACTTGCACATACTAGGTACACAGTCTACTTTTTTCCTTGTTTTAATATGGTCTCCATCAAAAACAACAAACCACAAAGATGTGACCAGCAGACTTGCACAAAGAGGTCTCCAAGATTCCTGGCTTGGTCACTTAGTCAAATACTAATGTACGTAGTGCTGTGCAGGAACTTTGTGGATGGAAGGAGGGGTCTCTAGAACCTAAGACCACCCTAGCCAACAGCCATCAGAATGATGAAGATAGATCTCAGTTGTACAGCCACTTGTAACTGAATTCTGCCAACGATGTGAATCTGAAAGATTTTTTTCCCCCAGAATGTCCCAGCAAGAGCCCACACAGCCTAAACCTTGATTTTGGCCTTGCGAGCCAGAACAGAGAACCAAGCTGAGCCAACTCACCTGATTTACAGAGTGTGAGATAGGTTTATTGTTTTTAGCTGCTAAATTCATGCTCATTTGTTACTGCAATGAAGAGAAATTTAGAGGGAAAAGGTGTCATTAGGCCTTATATCAATATATAGGACTTCCTTTTCTGAACCAAGAAATGAAGAACTTCAAAAGAGGGAACATATACAAAAAGCAGTTACACTTAATGTTATACTCTTAGTATAACCACATGTATTTGAAACTGCAACTTGCCTCACTTTGAGCTTCCTTCCTTCATGCCCTTTAGCTACCTTGGTAATAGGACAATGAGTGAATCAAGTCTCTCGGCTCTTCCCACATTGGAGTGGTTTTAAATTACCAGCAGTATTTAGGGATAGTTCTCAGACTGGCACAAAAAGTCTGCTTCTCATCCTATCATCTCAGAAGCACATTAATTTTGTTAAAAGAACCATTTTTGCAGCTAATGGACCTCTTAGAAATCGCATTAAAATGGTTCATGTGGGAGAGGAGTCCTGGGATTTGAAGTCAAGGCTTCATGCTTACTGAACACTGAATACTCTACCTCTTGAGCCATGCCCCTCCCCAAGGTTTTGTGTTTTTGCCTGCACCTCAGTCCTCCTACCAACACCTTACGCGCCACAACACCCAGCCTTTATTGGTTGATATAGACTCTTCCAAACTTTTTGCCTGGGCTGGCCTCAAACTCTAATCTCTTTATTTCTTACTCCTTACACCCAACCTGAATTACTTTGAGTACTTTGAAACTGCTAAATTTTGTTTTATAAGGGGAAAAAAATGTTCACTGTAAAAGCTATTTTGAATGCTCACATGATACACCCTAGTAAAAACATACTGGTAAAAGCCATATGTCCAAAGAAATTATACTTCAAATCAGTGTCAAGAATATAACCACCTAGAGGAAGAAGTCTTTTGAAAGCTTATTTGAAAATTGTATTGTACATCAAAGGCAACAAAACCTAGCATTTCCAGAATTAATTTGAAAGCAAAAAAAAAAAAAATTCCCACATGCTTTTTCTGAGTTCTATTTCCACCTCAGGGTTCAGGGTTCTAATCTTGCTTTCATGAGATGGCTGCTCGAAAGCTTGGAGCTCACCCCCACACATTAGCTAGCTGAGGTGGTCATTCACATTCTAATTAGCTGCAGTCCTCCTGGGAAGGTAAGCCACACAGTTCCCTTGCCACGCTAATCTTGTCCTCCAAAACAACCATCCCCTGCTTTTGATATCTACAAAAGTGGATAGTCTGCCTTTGATTATCCTCCAAAACAACTATCCTCTGCTTTTGATATCCATGAAAGTAGATAGCCATCTGGGCAGTGTGGCTCACGCCTGTAATCCTAGCTACTCAGGAGGCTGACACCTGAGAATTGTGGTTTGAAGTCAGCCCAAGCAGGAAAGGCCCTGAGACTCTTTTCTCCATTTAACCACTGAGCTGTGGCTTAGTGGTAGAGCACCAGCCTTGAGCAAAGAATTTCAAAGGACAGCTCCCAGGCCCTGAGTTCACGCCACATTCCAGGCTCCCCCAAAAAACCCACACCTGGGTAATCACAGAAGTGCCTTTGTCCTGCAGGTATTCCCCATTGCACAATGTGAAGTTGCCCGAGGCAGATGACGTCCAGTACCCATCCATGCTGCTCCTTACCGCTGACCACGATGACCGTGTAGTTCCGCTCCACTCCCTGAAGTTCATCGCCACCCTCCAGTACGTCGTAGGACGCAGCCGGAAGCAAAGCAACCCTCTGCTCATCCACGTGGACACCAAGGCTGGCCACGGGGCTGGGAAGCCCACCGCCAAAGTGATAGAGGAAGTCTCCGATATGTTTGCATTCATAGCACGGTGCCTGAACATCGACTGGATTCAGTAAATGGAATTTTCCGCCCCCTCTTGACAGCCACAGAAAACCTCAAGGGCTTTCACCATTCTGACCAGGAATCCATGGAAAGAATGCTTCCCAGCCTGGTACTGTTCCTCCACTGCGGACTACAGCCGAACAGAACTGCCGGGGGAATTTTATCTTTTTTAGCTTTCTCCTTTTTAGCAAGCCCTTGGCATTTCTTTTTCCACCCTATCCAGGCACATATTTTTAAAATGGGGGGACAAAAAGCATGTTTGGATAAAAAGGTAAATGACAATGAACATGTGGTGAATACTAGATTACTGAATTCAGGGTCTTAGTTGGGCATACTCATCATATATAGCAACGCAGTGAAATTTGCGTCTATAACCATTACCTATCCTTAATAAATTGAGAATTCTTCTCATGAGAAAGACTTCATTGCAATACTAATAAATGCTATTTAAGACTGAAAAAATGGAAGGCATTATTTTTTTTTTTAGTTCCTTTGCTTTTAAAAGAAGCAACCATCCAAATGTACTTGACTATGGGAATAAAGTATTTTCAGTTAGTTTCTAAACAAGGACATTATTAGCACTGGAAAAGAGTTGACTTCCTCCATTCCAGTTCCCTTGTTTATTAGAGGTGACTCACTTGTCGGATCCATTATCCACTCAGGTAAAGCTCTGATCCAGGGCTCTTTGATTTGGATGCCTCCTTTTAAAACTGTGGGCCAGAAATTCCATACTGTTTGCCGAGCTCACCGTCTCTGGATATCTGAGGTGCCCTGATTTCCAGGAACCCTCTATAACCAAATAAATACAAACAGGCATTTATCCTGGCTTATCGTACACAACAGAAATGTCAGCATTTCCCAAACCTTTTCTCTCCCATAGACTACTTCCTGGAGAAATGGTCATACTTTAAAAAAGAAAAAAAGTCTCCCCCTTTTCCTCAAGGCCTTCTGCCAGCTCCAGGGAGTCCCAGTCCATCACTGGCAATGAAGAAATAGCAGTGGGGTGACTGCCACCATCAGTACCCCGGCCACCAGGGAGCATGACTTCCCCCAAGTCACAGTCACAACCTGTGCCCTTACTGCCATTGATCTTTGGGTTCTTATAAGAATACACATTCTTTGCTCAGCTGAACACACGAAGTATACGCATTATGTACCCTGGGCAACAGTTGGTGGACCTGGTGCTTGATACTAAGCAAGACAGGGTCTGCTGTAGCCAAAAGAAATCAACCTGGAAAGTAAGTCCAGGTTGAACCACAATTGAGCCACATCTCTACTTCCAGCCCTTTGGTGGTTAATTGAAGATAGTTTCACCGGAGCCTGTGCTCAGATCTCAGCCTTCTAATAGGATTATAGGCATGATCCACCGGCACCAGACTTGTTTAATAAATGGGAATCTGTAAAAACCTAAGTTGTGAGGACTCCATTGTACCCCATTTTCTGCCAGTGAGTGGTAGCTTTGATGATATTACATGTGGTCATTTATAAAATCAAAGGTGGTGATTGATCCACCCTGGCCTAGAGTACTGCACATTGACACAGGCTGTGATTTCTCTGAAAGGTAGCCCCTCCCCAAAGAAAACAGTCTTAGACTGCACCTTCCCCAAGAATCTCTTAAGTTGACAATAGACCATTCTTTAAATACACCCATAACATTCATTTCAAGGTATAGTGTTTTTACTTCTCATACAACAGTGTCCCTTTGAATGTCACTTTAGGAAATGCTGATTTAATTTACAAGAAGGATTTTTTTTTAGTCTTGCTTTAGCAGATGTGATTAAATATTTTGCCTGAGGCATCTTATAAAACATTATAAGATTCATTATTCTAGTAACTTGTACTTTTGTCACTAAGTCCTTCCCTCCCCCCCCTCCGCCCATGCTAGTTATGGTCAAAAAATTAAGCCTATTACTATATTTCAATTGAAAGGATTCTACCGGTTTTATTTTTTTTTCTCCTCAAGAATGGATTCTGTTACTGTCATTTAAGTAGTGTGCAAAGCACAACTGTCCTTGAATATCTGCATTGCAGAGAAAAGCTGGGTGTCCAGCTGCAGAGCACCCTACTACTAGCATGGCAGAGAAAACAAGTACACTTGCCCAACAAGGCCAATGATAGGTGTTTTGCTAGGCTGAGTGGACCATTTCAGGTGCATATAGCTAAGTGCAGTTCACCCAGTCAGTATTTTCCAGCGTGTACAGAAGCTAACAATTCTTATCTATGCAGGTCTCCTACATAGCAGGAAGTACACATGTAGTATGTAGAGTCTGAGTTACAGAGTCTGGATTCATGCCTAGTTTCAAATCCCAAGTTCGAATTTAGTAACAGCAAAGGAATAAGTACCAAGTATATAATTGGCCTCCAATTATATGTTCCCTTTCCCGACTTAATTTTTTTATATGTAGATCTTAGCAAGTCAACTCCTCTCTCACGCTAAAGCTTAAAATGTGGGAAATGAGACTTAAGACTGGGCTCGTTTCCGTACTTCTCAGGCTGTCTTGTATCCTGTGCTCTGCCCTTTTGGTGCTGCCTCAGGTTGATCTATAGTGTTTGGAGGAAAAGTTGTATCTGTTGCCCAAATGCACTAAACTGCCTTGTCACAGGGTCTTGCTGAACACACCAAGAATGTATGTTACCTTAGAGTAATTATATAAAGACACTTAACTGTGATAGATACACATTTTTCACATGTTGTAAAACTTTACAATTAATGTTTCATAATACTCCTACAAAGCTTAAATGCTTTTGCTACGCATAAATGGTTCTACTAAATTTGAAAGGTTACATTTCAGCTAAGAAAACATGTTCCTCCTCCCTTCCTGTGAGCTCCCTGGGGGGAGGGGAGAAGACCACATTGTAGAGACTGAGAGGTGGGCTAAAAGCACAGGCTGCAAAGCTGTGAGGGGGGGGTCTTTAAAGAGTCAAACATCAAAGCAAAGCTGCTGTGGCTCATGCTACTCAGGAGACTGTGATCTAAGGGTCACAGTTCGAAGCCACCCCAGACAGGAAAATTCATGAGACTCCTATCTCCAAAAAACTTCTAAAAATGCTGGAAGTGGAACTGTGGCTCAAGTGGTAGAGTGCTATGCTTGAGCAAAAGAAGCTCAAGGGAGAGCGCCCAGGCCTGAGTTCAAAAACCAGGACAAGCACCAAAAAAGGCAAAGACTATAGACTGTAGCATGAGGACTGGTGCTGACTGAGAAAACACTAACCCCATTTTGTCCATCCACATTCCAGGGGCTGGAGATGCAGAGTTGATCTGTCAAGGGATTAGACAGGTGTTTCCTCAGTGTTTCCTGGGTGCCATTCTGTTCTAGGCATGGTCTGGTCTGTTAATGTTTGCCTTCACACACTCTACTTAGTGACAAGGCCAAGGTTCACCTGCCAGAAAGTGGGCAGGCAGAATAGAAACCCTGGGGGCTGGACTTGGGAGACATGACCCCTTAAACTTTACATTTGGAAATGTTAATTCCCAAAACAGAATTAGGAGGTGAGCCTGTAGGTCATTAGGTCCTGAGGATCCTAATTACAGAGGTCAGAGAGAGCCTTCAGCCCTGCTACCATGTAAGGAGCCACAAGAGAGCTGCCATCCATGAGCCAAGAAGTTGGCCCTCTCCAGACACCAAATCATTTACACCTTAGTCTTGGACTCCTCAGACTCTAGAACTGTCAAACTTCTGTTTATACGCCACCCAGCTTGGCTCAAACAGACTAAGACTAGTCTATTAATAAGATAATAAACAGGAAATACCTCAGGAATTAAGAGCTTTGAAGAAACAAGTCAGAACAAGTGAACAGACCATTCAAGGAATGCCATTTCAGTGGAAAAGATAATCAAGCTAGCCGGGCGCTGGTGGCTCATCTCTGTAATCCTAGCTACTCAGGAGGCTGAAATCTGAGGGTCGTGGTTCAAAGCCAGCCCGGGCAAGAAAGTCCGTGAAACTCTTATCTCCAATAAACCACCAGAAAACCAGAAATGGTGCTGTGTCTCAAGTGGTAGAGCGCTCACCTTGAGCTGAAGAGCTGAGGGACAGTGCTCAGGCCCAGAGTTCAAGCCCCACGACCAACCAAGTAAAATAAAATAAGCTGTTTGAACAAAGCCCTGAATAAAATGATGAGGCAATCAATAGACAAAGGTGGGATGAGGGACTAGAGACAATGGACAGAGCCCAGGTGAGAACCAGGGCACCGAAGAAGAGCAAGAAACATGGTGGAGCCTGGAAGACAAGCTGGAGAAAGACTCAGACCAGAAGCCACTGAGGTGGGACTGGAAGAAAACAACAAGAGGTCCTGGAGTGGAACAGGAAGCCCACTTACTGAGAGAGCAGGTCCTAGCACATTGGAGGGACTTCAGGGCCAGGGTCAATAAGAACTCACATTTAACTAACTTGCTCTATTGTGTGTGAGCCTCAAAAGTATGCAGAATGAAAGAAGCCAAGTACAAATGACCATGCAAGGATGGAAAACATCCAGCTTGCAAATTATGTGGCCCTTGAAATCATTTGGCACATGGCAGGTACATTGGGTGCATGTATGCTTCTCCTTGGCTGCCTGCAGCTGTCTGCCTGCCTGTGTACTTCTTACAGCCCTCAAATGACATTCTAAATACCCAAATAGCTAGTGCCAGAACAGAGGTTCTCCACTCCTGATCCATGTGGGTGAAATGTTCCTGAAAAGCAACTCTGAAATGACAGGATATAGAGCAACGAGTTAAGGGCAGAGATGACATTAACTGCATACAAAGGGTCTCACTTGGAGAGATGAAACTTCCAGAACTGGATCAAGACAATGGGCAACCTGGTAAATTTACCACCATGGAATGTTCACTTAATGGGACAGGTTTGTGTATGGAAATACACTTAAGTGAAAATACCAAACAGAGTAAAAGAAAAAGCAAAAAAAGTTCTGTGGGTACACATCATCCAGCAATCACCCCCTGGAGAGTTGCAGTGTCACGTGGGAAAAACAGGTGACCAGGAGCAATTGAGATAAAAAGCTTACATATCAGCCTTGGGCAGGGAGGACAAGGCTATTTGAAAGGGTCCCTGTGTCAGTTCATATCTGAAGGCAAAGCTGTCCATCTCCCCTCACTTCTATGGAGTTTTCTCCTTCCATCAAAAGTGAACTCTTCAAATCTCTGTCCTGAGAGTGTGCCCTGCCTCACATGGCTGGCTTCACTGCACCCAGGAGCCCAGAGCCTCCTGTAGACCCAGGGCTGCAGCACTGAGACAGCCACGGGACACCAGACAAGCTGGCTTGGTTACCATAAAGTACAAATCTCTTGGTTTACCTACTGAGCAAGAGATAGTGTTTGGGTGGCCCTCTGTGGAAGTTAACAATGTCAAATAAACCTAGGAATTCTAAACAAACTTATTTAAGGGTAATGTGTTTGTTCTTTTAAAAGAAACTTTTGCATGAAAATAAACTCTTTGTAGTGTCACTGCATTAAAGGATTTGTTAAGTTATCAAAGAAAAGCTT